GAAAAACAGGGCATAGTGAGCAGCAGATGAATAAGTTGACATAAAGACTTCAGCACGGGCGCCCTCCGAGTGGTCAGCAGAGGCTGATGTGGACGATGATTACAAAAGTCAGGCTCACCCCAAAAGGAACCCCTTCTCTGCCAGCCACAACGAATCTGATTTGTGGGCTTAAAATCAACTCCCGCTGCTCCTCCAGCTGCATCCTCCTGCCTGGTTTCCAGACACTGTGGGAGCTGTAGACAGAGCACCTGGGGCCGGTGCTGGGTGGCCCTGGGGAAGTGGCTTTACCTCTCTGAGCCTCAGTTCCTCTATTTAGAAAAGCAGGCTAAAATCACATGTGCTGCATGGAACAGAATTCACAGAGTCCCTGAGGAAGGTAGTTGGAATAACCGCGTGCCCTGAGGACGTGTGTGTTTGTTGTGTGTTTGTGCAGGCTTATCAGAACACAGGCTGAGGCTGCTGGTCCAGATGGACGCTGGGCTGGACTGGGGACCTTGGCCTCCTTAGAACCTCCTTCAGGGCAGCAAGCTGAGCAGCCTGGATATTTTCTCTTTTAAAGTGACAGCTCTGAGTGCAGGGGACACCGGGAGCCCCGGATTTAGTGCCTCCCTTCGTCACCACCTGCCTGGGCCCCACTCCTCTGGTGACCAGGGGACAGGACTGTCTCTAGGGCAAATTCACTTCTCTTACAAATAAATGCCTGCCTAAGCCCCAGGGTGGCTGTGAGGACAGTGGAAGAGATGGAGCAGGTGTCCCTAAGCCCTTCCAGGAGGAAGAGGAGGAGGGAAGTGGGGGTCCCAGCCCCTCTGTGGGCCCCCAGAAGCAGGGGTGCCCTGGATGTGGGCTCCAGGATTGGTGAGCCTCACAGTTACCCAGGTGGCTTGAGCTAGTGACCATGCATCCAGTATCCAGGACACCAGGGCCGACCCCCACCCCCACACAGAGCCTGGACCAAGAGGTCGATGGGAGGTGACAAATTCCCAGGTGCTATGCATCCCAGAAGCCTGGAAAGTGACCTCAAAGAGCGCTTGGTCCTGGCTTTTCATTTTTAATGAGGTCCCTATTTCAGCGCTAAGGAGGCAGTTTGGTATTTGGTGGGGGCATTTGGGGGGATTGTAGAGGGAGGGAGGTGACATCAGGATGGGGTCATCTTGCAGTACCAGTGACAAAGTCATAGGATGAACAAGAATCCTGATGGCCACACAACCTTTCAAACTTCCTGTAGATAAAGGACTGAAATTCCCAGGCTGAGACCCCAGCTGTGTCTTACCTAGAAAGAGAGCCTTAAAAGACACGGACTTCTCCATGCACACAGCCCCAGAACTGGGTAAATCAAGTCAAAATAGATGGATCTCATCAGAAATCTCACCACTTTGGAAAATCGTGTCACCAAGGCGACAGTGCCAGTGGTAGATGAGTTGCCAAAACAACACACCCGTGGCTTCTTCACTTGATGCTGGCGTGTGGGTAGAGATCTGTGTTTAGGTGCAAACGAGTGACCCCTTGGCTTGGCGGGGTCACGGGTGACCCCAGCCAGTGCACTCAACTGCAGCTTCTTTGCCTACGAGTTATTTTGTGCTCTGTCTCCTTTTGGTTTATTGTTAGGCTGTGAGATTGGTGAAAGATTACAAAATATAGGTAAGTTCTATTAACCACAGATGGGCTTCTGCTTTTCAAATGATTTGTCAACATATCAGGGGCTTTGAGCCTGATACGGGTGTGAGTCACTGAGCTAGGGCAACAGGTGTTACTGTGAAATGTCACCCACCCTTGGCCACTCACCCGAGTGGCTTCCCAGGGCCCTGGACTCCCTGGGCGACTCCCTTATCTGAAGCAGGTCTTTCTGTGACTTTGGATCAGGCCATCTCATCACATGTAAGGTTGAGGCAGCATGGTCAGAGGGAACACCATGATGGAAGAGGCAAAACAGAGAGAGGATGTGCCTTTCCGATGTGGAAAAATAGGAGCCCGTGTCACACTGGCCTGTCCCTCCATCCTTCTTGGGGGAGGTAGGAGAGGGCTTCCTTGGGATGGCATTTGTGCAGGACAAGGAGGAGGTCTGGGGACTTCCGTTAAATCTTTTCACATTTGGAGATCACGCCTGAGCCTTGTGCTCTGAACCAGACCTTTGTGTCCCTGTGTGTCCGCTGGAGGACAGGGTCAAATGAGCAAGCTGTGTGCAGCTCCCAGCTGAGGATCCTAGGGGCACTGTCCACATCATATGGAGTCCAGGGAGGGACAAGTGTGCTTCAAACGGAGCTCCAGGAATTTTTATGCTCACCTCCCAAGTCCAGCAGTGAGTCAAGTCAGGTGTGGGGAACACGGTGCAGGGCCAGCTGCGTGGCACAGATAAGGGAGGGGGAATGAACTACAAGTGGCCCTGAAGAACTCAGAGGGTCCAATGGCTGGGAGGTGGAGGTCACACCCAGGGCCGTCTTTGGGGATGGACACTTTCCAGTGCCTCCCAGCAGACAAGGCCACAGTGCCTTCAAATGTGGATCCTGTCACTGCCTTAGAACTGAAGTCCCCCCATGGAGACTCAGAGGTCTGCTGGATGGCCACTTCCACTGGGCCAGAGAGACCCAGGGTTGGTAGTTCTAGCCTGAGAGGTCCCCTGTGCTAGTCCTGGGTGAACCAGGCCACCAATCTCCACTGTTCAGGACAACCCTGAGGACTCATCCTGGCCACCAGCTCTGGAGATGCCCAGAGCTACGAAAACCGTCATGTGTCCTTCCCCTCCATCATGAGTGTCCCATCACACCTTGTGTATGGGGCCAAGACTGTATCTTCCTTCTCCTGGAGATGAGGACCAGATGTGCTGAGGACACTCAGATTGTCCCCAGGAAACGTGTGGAGGGAAAGGAAGTGAGCTGGAGGGTGGGGCTCTAAGGTCAGTGAGAGATCCTTCTGTCCAGGAGCTTCTGATAGCACCTCTGTCTTCCTTCCTGGGGGGCTCTGGGGCTTGCTGGAAATGGCTCCATTTTCCCCCAGGTACAAGAAGTTAGGAATCCCCACAGGATGCAATGGTAGACTGAGGCAGACTGCACCATCTGGAAGGAGGCCTGGATTCCATGCAGTTCCCCCAATATACCAGGCCCACTCCTACCCCAGGACCTTTGCACGGGCTCTTCTCCCTGCCTGGAATGTGAATCCCTGAGAAAACAGTCAGGTTCCCTCTCCAGGCCATCCTGTTAAGAGCAGCCCTATCCTCTTTATTTAAAATGTCACACTCCCCAGCACTTCTGCTCCCCTTCCCGCTTCAGGTGTGTCCTTAGTATGGATTACCAACATATCACCCATTTTACATTTTTGTCTTGTTTATCGTCCATTCATGACACTATAAACTCCCCGAGGCAGCGAGTTTGTTTCATTCATTGCTCTAACCCCAGAGTCTAAAACACACGTGCCTGGCACACATTAGGTCATCATCAGGCATCTGTTAAATGAACACCTGAAGGGGCGCGGGCAGCAACTTTAATCCAGGTCCCCGGGGACCCCCCTGGACATCTCCAAATGCTCCCAGGACACTTTGGGGTTCCTGGGGAGGGAGGTGGGAAATCTTGGCCTGGATTTCTGGGTAGCCCCAGCCCTGAGTCTCCCTTTGGGTATGCCCATCCCCATCCTGGCTGCATGGGGGGCTGTGGGGTCTGAGAGTGGGAGGGCCTGGAGAAATTAGTCTCTCATCTCCTAACTCGCTGTTCTCCGGCCTCCTAGCCCAGTGCCACTCTCTCCCACCATGTCACAAGCTCTCTCTCCTCCCCCCAGAGACTCAGAAAGTACCAATCTAGCAACGAGGAACCAGTACCCAGTTCCATAAGTTCGAGCCCCAGCATCCACATACTACCAGCAAGAGCGGGTTTGGGGGAGCCAGGCCCAGTTCTACGCATGGATTTCCTTCCCCTTCCTCGGGAGCTTCCCTCACCCTTGCCAGCTGTGGAGAGGAGAAAGCCAGCTGATGCCAAGGGTGGCTGGGCTCAGCCATTCCCTGCTCTTTTCTCAGGGTCTGTTTTTTTTTTTTTGGTGTGACTGGGATTGAACTCAGGGTTTCACACATGCAAAGCAGGAGCTCTACCACTTGAGCTGCACCTCCTGTCCATTTTTATCTGGTTAGTTTGGAGATGGGGGTCACGTGAACTATTTGCCAGGGCTGGCCTTGAACCTCAATGCTCCTAATCTCAGCCTCCCAAGTAGCTGGGATTACAGGAGTGAGCCACCAGCACCTGGCTTCTTCTCATGGTCTTGCCTCAGGGCATGTGGCCTGCTGTGCCATATACATGGACCTCTCACTCACTGGGGGACCTCAGGAAAGGCAGCCTGCCTCCCTGAGCCTCAGTCTTGTCACATGTGAGCTGTAGACCATCAAAAATAGATCGTGTGAAGGATATCTGCCAGTTCTGGCTTTCAGGCAAGAGCTCTGTGCTAAAGGTTGTGCCCCACTAGGGAGGTACGAGGATAGGCAAGAAACCCCAAAAAAACTAGATAGCATTTGATGTCCTCAGTGCAAAGGAACTAATGCAAAAACTTTAAAGTGACAGAGGCCGACAGGAAAAGGGAACCATGTACTAGAGAAAAGGTGAGATCAAGAAGAATTAACCTAGAAGGTAACACCCACGCACAGGAAATCAATGTGAGTCAATGCCCTGTATAGCTATCCTTATCTCAACCAGCAAAACCCCTTGTTCCTTCCTATTATTGCTTATACTCTCTCTTCAACAAAATTAGAGATAAGGGAAAAATAGTTTCTGCCGGGTATCGAAGGGGTGTGGGGTGGGGAAGGAGGAGGTGGGGGAAGGGGGAAGAAATGACCCAAACATTGTATGCACATATGAATAAAAGAAACAACAAAAAAATAAAGGTTGCGCCCATTTGCCTCTGGGAACTGAAATTTCCAGGGGAAGTTCAAGGGTGGACCAAGCTCACGCACACAGGCAGGTGTCTGACACAACGCAGGCTGTGACCCTGGGCCTCGAGGCTGGGTCTCACGCACCTGTGCAGCTTACCTGTCCACTTGGACTCCGGTGTCTTTGGTGTCCATCTTGGCAGGTCCACCTCTGTTGACCGCTTTGCCCCCGCTGGTGAGGAGGCTCAGCAGAGGCTCGATCTCTCTGAGCAGCTCGTTGGGGTCTTCCTTGCCTTGGACGCTGACGTTGGCACTTTTCTTGGCAGTGTCCTGGCTCGTGGGCCCAGGAGCCAGGCCATTGTCGTGGGACAGCGAGCTGGTATCCTTCCCACTGTCCTGAGTGTGCTGAGGTCTGTTCCCAGGGCCGGCAGCCCCACCCATGACTACTGGTTGCTCTTTGCTGGCTGATGTCTGGCGGGACAGGTCGACAGCTTTGCTAGAGGGACCCAGAGGCTGGGTCACCCGAATGGTCTTGGGGGTCCCATCCCCGGTGAAGGTCGTCTCCAGGTGTGTGGTGAAGCCCTCGGGGCCTCTCAGAATGAGGACCACGTGGGTCTCCGAGGCGATGCCTCTGAGCACCTCCAGGGCACTGTTGTAGCTCAGGTCCACCAAGGGTCGGCCGTTGACAGCAAGAATTATGTCCCCTGCCTGGATGAGGCCACTCTGCTCCGCAGCCCCCCCTCGAATCAGGTCGAGATGATCACAGGTGGCTTGCTAACCCGCTCCTTCACCAGGAACCCCAGGCCCCCGACTTTGCGCTTGAAGAGGCGGACAGAGATGACATTGGGTTGGATTTGCTGAACACCGAACATGTGATCTTCCATGGTGCCTGTGGTTAAGGGTCCTGTCTGAAGACCTCAAAATGTATCAAAGTGACTTCACCAGGAGGAGCTGGGCTCAGGCTATGCCAAGCAAAGAGCTGGGGACACAGGCTGCAGAGGCTTCTGTCCTCTCGGTCTTTGACGTCAACTCGGCGTCACCCACTCATTGCCATTTGGCCGTTGGTGGCATGATTTCACGTGTCAACCTCCTTCCTCTCTCCAGAAGCAACGGTTGACCAGACAGACGTCAGAAGAACCAGTGGGACATGTCCCTGAACGACAGGTCGGGCAGACTGGGAGGATCAATGTCTGATGGATGGGTCTAGAATTGATGCATGGTGGCTGTGAACCACTCTCTGGGTATCTTGTCACCAGCTTGTCACATTCAGATGAAATGTAGGGCTTCTGGAGCTGAAGAGAAGGGAAAAGGGAAGGGATGAGAAGAAGAAAAGGAGAGAGACAGAGATTGAAGTTGAGCAGCCAGCACCACCTTGTAAACCAGGATGGAAAACTCAGCTAACTCAGCTGGACCACAGGATTCTCGGAGTTTTAAAGTCAGCCTAGAAAGGCAGAGGACACCTGTATTTCCCAGTTAGCTGTCAACTGTCTAGCTTTATCTCCACGATCAAAGGCCCCAGACACCAAAGGGTCCCCAGGGGAAACCATGGACGGTTAATCCCATAAACTAAACCATAAGAATTGCAAACCCTCTCTTAGCTCATCCCCACTGCAGAAGTCACCGTTCCAAGTTGCCACACAGCCTTCACCTGTCTGTGTTGTGCAAACAGTTTCTACTCAAAACTCAGGAGCTCAGTTGGCATAAATCTTTGGGCTGCCCATTGTGGCACCCCCAAAATGCCCACAACAAACCTACTGGAATGAGAATGCCATCCCCTGAAGGATTTATTTCAAGTTAAAAAGTTTACACTTGGCCACACTGAAACATTGTAACACCAAAGAGATGGGTCCACCCGAAACTCTGGAAGACATTTGTGTCCCACAGACTAGCTGAAATCTAGACAGAAACAGTAGGAAGAGGAGGCTTTAAGGGATGGTGTTGTGGTACATGCCTGTAATCTCAGTTTCTCAGGGGGCAGAGATAGGAGAATCAAAGTCTAATCTATCCCTGGGCAAAGCACAAGACCCTATCTGAAAAATAACTAAAGTAAAAAGGGCTGGGAGCATGGCTTCAATGGTAGAGCACCTACCTAGGAAGCATGAGGTCTGAATTCGAACCTGGTACCATCAAACAAACAAAAAATCCAAAGACTGGACTTTGTACCCCTAGGGTTGGCACAGCACATAGCTGGTGCTCAGTGAATATTTGTTGATTGAAGAAGAAGCCCCCCCCCAACTAAACATAAGTTATTAAGCACTTACGTAACATTTTTTCTTCCTTTGGTTTCCATCATAACCCCTCAACAGACATGGAGACCAAAGATCGAGACAGCCCTGTCCCTTGTCCCATAGAGAAGGATGGCCGAGAGATTTGAAATTGAATCAGCCCTGCTTTCAAGCCTGAGCCTTGAATCTTGTTTGTTTTGTTATTTTGACGGCCCTGGAATTTGAACTCAGGGCCTGGCCCTTGCTAGGCAGACACTGCTCCACTTGAGCCACCACCAACCTGAGCCTTGGAAGTTATCCCCTCGTTATTTTATACTCTAGAGGCTTCCCCGTTCCTAAGTTTGCTCCCTGTCACCAGTAACAGACACTTCCTCTTTTCCCTTTTAGCAACTTCCTGGGGTCACCCCAGGGCCAAGACAGCTGATGGCTCCTACAGCCTCTCAGAGTAGGAGGCAGAGGTCCCCTGGCCTCCAAGGGAGTGTCACCCCCTCCCGAGGTCCCCTCGTGGGAGGCTGGTGAGTATTTGTGCAGTTTGCATTACATATCCGCCAGCCCCTCTGTGTGGGTGAGTACCCGGGCCCAGCCCATCTGGCCTCGCTGTGTGTGTGTTTCTCTGTGTATTCATGCATCGCCCTCGTGCTGTGTCATTTCTCTGCTGTGTGTGGCCCGGGTGTCAACTGGCTGAGTGTCTCTTTCAGCATCTTGAGGCTGGAGCTGTGGTTTGCGGGGAGGATCACCCAGGACCACTGTGCCGTTCCACACTGGCAAGGGTCGCTGTTCCCCAGCCCTGTGTCTTCTGGGGACCAAACACAGAATGCTCACTGGGAAGCAGTTGGGGGAAGAGCCGGCTGGGGCCTCTGAGCCTCTCCCAGGGTTTGGCTCTGGCCTCCGTTTTGTAATGGAAGAAGGGACCTGAAGATGAGGTTTTGAGAGAGGTGAGGCCCCCAAGCTCATTTCTTCCCAGTGCTGGTTTGGGTCAGATCTCAGCAAAAGACAGACTGAACTTGGCCTTTGGTGTACTTTAAGAAAAAAGAAAACAGAAATAAGCACTCTTGGCTTGTCCTGTCCTGCGTGATATCCTCTAGATCGAGCAGGGCTCTTGGCTGGTGCTTGGGAAATTGGGGTGCTGTTTCACTTTCAGACCTCGGTGTTAAATGTGAAACTTGAGGGCAGGTATGGTGGTACATGCCTGTAATCCCAGCAGGACTGTGGTAGGAGGCCAGCCGGGAAAAAAGTGTGAGACCCCATTTGAAAAACAAATTAAAGCAAAAGGGCTGGGGACATGGCTTAAGTGGTAAAGTGCCTGCCTAGTAAGCTTGAGGTCCTGAGTTCAAATCCCAGTACTGCCAGAAAAACAAAAAGGAAACTTGATTTTTGGAAGGAACTGGAAAGAGGCAGAACTGGGAGGGAAGGAGGGAGGGAGAGAGGGAGGGAGACAGAGAGAGAGGGAGACAGAGAGAGAGAGAGAGAGAGAACGAACTTGCCATTGTCTTCATAACAATTTGACAACACTCTGTCTCTTTTTCCTCCCAAGGGAATGTCCTCATCCACTGTCACATTTCATTCTTGCCCTGATCTGGGTCAGGCTCAACTATTCCCATTTTGCAGATAAATATGTTAAGCTGCTGTGGTGACACCCATTTGTCCATTTGAGAATATTCAGCTTTATGAGCCTCCTTGGGTCACCCTTCTCCACCAGGAAGAACTTTAAGGTCCTTCCTGCCTCTCTGTGTATTTCTGGCTGAGTTCTTTATTTTTCTTTGAACCTCAGTTTCCTTATCTGTAAAATGGGACCGTTATTGACAACCAACTCTCTAGGTAACTGGGAGAATGGAAGAGCAGGTGGCAGAGAGTCAGAAATGCCACAAAGAGAATGCTCAGAAAACCCAGATTCCTGCCTCTGTTATGTAATACGTCACGGTTGGTTTCTTGGGTTTGAATTCAGTGCAATTTCTGCTCCATCAGGATCCAGCCAAAGGGACTTTCTGTGTCATCTACAAAGTGGCCCTTGCCTGGAAGTCACACAGAGAGGACTGTCACCTGGTCACTGCGGGGGCAGCGTGCACAAGGAGATGGAAGCTGGCTACAGCACCTGCCAACCTAGTCTCCGCCCTTTGGAGCTGCAAATTCTAAACAAATCACACCCACGCGCACACCATGGCAACAACACTTGGACCGCAGCCTCCCTGAGCGCTTCAGTGGTTTGGGTGTATTTATTTCATTTACCTTGCTCTGAGCAAATTAGTGGCTGGGTATGGGGACAACAGCCAGTGAGAAGGAGGCAGCCAAAATAGGCCAGCGTCTGATGCCATCGCCTTGCTGTGTGACCTTGGGCACACCACTCCCCACTCCGTGCCTCATTTCTATAACTGGAGAAAGGGGAATGCTGGCATTTTTGAGTGATCGGGAGTTCACTGGGGGCTAAGCCTGGGGCCAAACTCTATGCTCCGTGTCACTGTCGGAATCGAGTCACATTTTTATCCCTACCTTGCAGTTGGGTGAGGGAGACAAGATTCAGAGTCTGTTGAGGAGGTCGGTAGCTCAGGGTGAAGGCAGTAGATTCTGAGTGCTGTGCACTGTCAATCAATATCCCCAGGACAACCCCATGACCCAGTGCCTCTCCCCGCTTCCCCTCCCCAAACCACATCCTCAGCTTCTGCCCACTTTGCATCCTCCCGCTCATCTTGATTATGTTCAAGTTCCCTGATTTTACAGATGAGGAAGTTAACTTGTCCCCGGGGACACTTGCTTGTCCTGGGTGGTTCTGACTTCCTGTTTCTCCCGCTGGATAATTAGCAGTGAAGGGGAGCCACTGAGGTCCCTTGAGGTGGCTCCTGTGTTCAAACACAAGGAACAGAGGCCCCGGACCTGAAGGACTTATTCTACATGGACCATGAGCAGTGGGACGGTGCAAGCTGCATGGTCCAACATGGTGGTGGCTAACCTCGTGTGGCCACTGATGCCTCTCCTGTGGCCGGGCCCCCTCAACTGTGGTGGAGAGGTAGTGAGAGTAAAACCCACCCCAGGTTTCACAGATCTAGCGGGAGAAAATGCATGAAGCATCTTAATATATTTTAGTATTGATTACATATTGAGGCAAGACCATTATGGCTATATTGGGATGAACAAAATTGATGCTTTTCACTTTTTTTGTTTTGGCAGTTCTGGGACTTGAACTCAGGGCCTCATGCTTGCTAGGCAGGTGCTCTACCACTGGAGCCACTCTGCCAGCCCTGTGTTGTGTTGGGTGTTTTTAGAGAGGGTCTCACCAACTATTTTTCTGGGTTGGCTTTGAACCACAAACTTCCTGATCTCTGCCTTCTGAGTAGCTAGGATTACAGGCATGAGCTGCTAGTAGTGTGACTACTAAAAAGTTGGATGTCACACCCTGGCTTCCACATGTCATTGGGAGCAAGGGTCTAGACTGTGACTATTGTTCTTATCTATTTTCCATTATTCCTCAAGTCTGCCCAAGAATCTACCAATAATTTACCTAAGCAGGAGGTAATTTCCTAAAGTTTTACCTTCTAAAGAAACCAGAAGTCGGGCACTATGGTTCACACCTGTAATCCTAGTTACTTGGGAAGTGGAGACTGGGAGTATCACAGTTTGAGACCAGCCTAGGCAGAAAGTTTGTGAGACCCCATCTCAACCAACAAGTTGGGTGTGGTGGTAGGTGTTTGTCATCCAGCTATGCAGGAAGCATAAATAGGAGAAGGACTGTAGTACAGGCATAAATGTGAGACCCTATTTGCAAAATAACACTGGAGGAGAGGCTCAAGTGCTAGAGCCCTGCCAAGCAAGCACAAGACCCTGAGTTCAAACTCTAAGACTGACAAAAAGAAAAGGAGAAAAATGACAAGGATGGGTTTACAAACACAGTGTCTTGCCTCCTTTTGAGGCTGACCACGGGGAACATGTGTGTTGATGGTAGGATGTCAGGAGGAAAAAAAATCCATCCGGACCTATGGAAGGAGAGGTCATAGGATGAGGTCACCTGGCCTAACAGTCCAGCATCCAAAATCCTGCCTTCTGAGCACCAGTGAAGTCTAACCCTTCTATCCCAG